TTTCTCACTGAAACCAGATGGTGTTTTTCCACGCCATCAAAACGAAATAGTCTATTATTTCTGCGATATTGGTAGCAAGCATTAAACACTTCTAACTTCCCTTCGTTCTTTCTGTCTTTCATTTTCTCACTGAAACCAAGTAGTAACTCTTTCCCTCTTTCCACGTGATCAAAACGAAATAGTTCATTATTTAAGAGGTACTGACAGGGCGTAATGGTCGTGCGAACTAACGAAGAGAGGGACAAAAACAATAGAATTGTTCTTTAAGCTGTCACAGAAGCATGGATTTTGTCGCTTTGCGGTGACTGCCGATCAGCCAAAAAGGTTTAGACTTTAGTCAATTGACCTTAGTCATTCGCCACTGCGTCCGCACAGTGTGTAGTCAAGGTCACCGTCATACGATTGGCTGAATGTTCGATTTATAACCGTCATGAAAAGGGTCATAAGAATAACGAGACATAATTTTTATTTAGGATTTAATAAGATCAACAGCATTATCGTTTTTGTTGAACACTTTTGTTTCAGGGCAAACTTTACAAGATAAACCTTCAGCTAAATGCAGTTTTTTTTTTTTTTGTACTTGTGGTGTTATGAAGTCAGATTTTTTTATGGAAACTGACAGAAAATAACTGAAATTCTAAATTAACATCAGAGTCTTATTTCAAGCATGGAATTTTAGGCTCAAACTGAGTAGCTTACGCAAATTTTTAATTTAAGATGGTGTGTTCTTTTAGTCCTATCCGCAGCGGTGGACTGGTCAGGGTGGCAGCTTGCTCGGTGGCAAGTTGGCCCCCTATATCAAATAAAAAATGCAATAAAAAAACAATAATAAAAAGGTGTAAGAACTTTATAAAGATATCTGCACACTATCAGTTACTCAATTCCAATGTGAATGGACATTTTCAAAGCTAAAAATTATAAAGAAAAGTGTAAGAAGTTCACTATCTGCGAAGAATTTGGAATCATACATGTTGCTAACCATTGAAAAAATAATAGATAGATGAATTGGATATTGAAGCAGCTATTGACAGATGCGCGCAATAATCTTACACAGATAACTGTTTTTTATATAGTTGACTATATGCAATGTTCTATTTTGCTTTTGAACAATCCATTAATGAGGAAATTGTATAGTAAAATATTAATTGCTTAAGATTAAAAGAAAAATGTAAATAAAATGTTTAATTATAACATTCCGTATATACATTTGGAATCTATTGCCAGTAATATATCCAGTACATGTACACTGTAATTACTAAAAAAATGCATATTTTTGACACAAACATTTTAATTGTACATTTTTTCCGTATTTAATCTTTGAAAATTTATTTATCTTTATGAAAAATAAATGATAGCATTGTAGTTGTGAGATGACCTCCTCCTTTTATCTCCTAGCAACCAATATTTTAGACCCAGTCTAACAAAAAAAAAAAATTTGAATATTTAACTACTTTTTATAGAAATGTGTTTTTTTAAAGAAAATTGTTTTTAATGTTTACAATGGCAGAAAGAATAAACAGGGTGTTATTAAAAAAAATAAAATTTTACAAAATTTCAAATTTTTCGGTTTTTTTTTAAATGAATTTAACATAATAATTTTATTTAAAAAAATAGTGATTAATTTTAAATAAATGAAATCTTTTATTTTAAATCTCTTAGCACCTACAAGTTAATTTCACCATAAATCACTACAGTAGAATGCTGACTTAATGAATATGACATTTTCCCGCCAATCCCCATGTTGGAGATCCGAATACACCTTTGCAGATTTTTTTTTTAAATCTAGAAAATGAAACGGTGTTTTTCAAAGATGACAATGTTGAAAGTATTTGATATCAATATGCAAGCGAAAAGAAAATAACGGATGAATTGAGATATTCTAAAGATATTTAAAAAAAGTTGAAATTAAAATTCTTCAATTTACCTTTCATTTGTTCCTCAGTTCAAATTTACCGAAGTGTGAAATGTGCCGAAAGACTGGTGCAAAACACGAACTTGCCTTTTTGTTTTGTATCTTGCTTGTATGATGAAACAGTGCATGAATATGGCCGACTCGTAGAACAGAATGTGGGGGCGACAATAGAAGTTCAGTGAGTGGACACAATCAACTGCAGACACCTGACGCCATCTGGTTTTGGACAGAGAGTCTGATTCGCAGACCAATAGAATTCAATAATCAGACCAAATGATATAAGTTAAGGTTGATTGAAGCTAGGTGAGACATTAGGTAAGTGTTTGCAGGTGGAATGTTGGACAAGCGATGATTGGACGTGGGTGTAGATTGGAAGAAATGACATTACAGAAGATAGATTGTGTATGTACAGCAGATTGTACAAGTACAGAAACATGCATTGCTTAAAACGAATTATAGTTGCTATAGATAATCTACAAGGTGAGACAGAAATATATTCATATATATATATATATATATGTGTGTGTCTGTTTCATTGAATAATATAAACGTATTGTATCTCTTTATTTTTATACTGATCCTTTGCAGTAGTGTCATGAGAAGCCAAATTAATCATACACAATAACTCTTCTCTGTCAACTAGTGTTTTGAAAAAATAAATATCATATATCTGCTTAAATTTCCTTTGGAAGATTGTACCTCTGAGAAAAAAGTAAGAAAATATTTTGGTTTGACGACCACAACATTATCAAGACGTCTTACACTTCATTTGTCGGATACAAGTTCTATTGCACAGCATCTAAAAACACATTTCCGTCCACCTTCACAATAGAGGAAAATACTTGTTGACAACACCTATATAATACAACCAAGCAACATTCAACAAATGTTTTTTTACGAGTGTAGCAGCAACGTATTGAAGTGCATATAACAAACATTTAATTCCATTTTGCATTTCTACTAATTTCCGGTTATCTCCCTTACAATGAAACACTTGTTTTGTAAAACAAATCCGTAACTACAATGGAAAAATAAAAAATTTTAAAATAATTACAGAGCGCGTTTTTAAAAAATCACCATCACAACGGAATGCGGATTTTATTGCAGTCACAATCGGTTTGTCATTGTAATTCACCTCTGAACATGGAAAAGATTGAAAGTACTCGAGTTAACAAAACTACGGCGCCTTCCTTGTGAATTTGTAAAAAAGATTAGAAAGAAGTAAATCTATATTTTCTAAGATTTTATTGAAATTTAATTTAAGTTTCCACATGTCCTCCATTAGCAATACAAAGGGTAATACGATTTTGCAGTTCACAGAAAAATATATGCCAACTGATTTACAGTATTGTCTGAAATCACATTAGTTATTTTAGAATATTTTCTTAAAACTAGCTACATTAAACTTAATAACATTTTTTACAGATGATTTCTATCGCAAATACAAATAAAGTTATAATTTTTTTAAAGTGCACACGAACTTTATGGACACCTTGTATATTGGGCATATCCAAAATATATTTACAAACTTTGGGGCGGGTTTCTCGCACCAAAACAAAGTTAAAATGTCTATATAAACATATAAGCATCGTTGTACCTCAACATAGAAACAATTCAAAATGTTCTCCGCTTACTTCAACAGAAGTATGTATCCGTCAGATCATTGACTGGCGACCCTTTCAAATACTCCCACACGATGCTGAATGGTTTCGCAGGCCCCCATAACAGGTTGAAAAAGCGTCTTTGCATTACTAATCTCTGCTGCATAAAAAAATGGCCTTAGTCGTCCCTACAGATAATATCTAAAGGATTGAGATTCGGGGGGGGGGACCTTCTGACCATGGAACTGGTCCTCCTCTACCTATACATCTTTCATGGTAGATGTCAACCAATGCATCGCAATGTGACTAGAATATGCAAGAGTCCCATCATGCGTCTTTGTATTATCAGGAATACATCCTCTAGCAGGTCTGGAAGTGTATTCGAAATAAAGTCCCTGTAGAAAGCTACTGTAAGACGTGTTGGGAGAATATATGAACCTATCAGACAGTCACCTTCAATTCCAGTCCACATATTAATCGTAAACTGATTCTGCTGTCCAGCCAGTATTGTACGATGGGGATTCCGATTCAACTCAAAATGTTGGTTGTGTAAATTTATTATTTTACTTCTTCGAATTGTCGCCTCATCTGTAAACAACACCGAAAAAAAAATAACGGATCCGAGAATGTTCCCCCGTGGTGAGTGATCAGAGGTCGAAAGACCCTGCGCACGTTACAAATGATAAGGATACAAGAGCTGATACTGAAATACCCTCCATGTGGTACTATGAGATGTACGACATGTTAGGGCCACTTGACGTGTGCTGTTACCCGGAGGGTCACCGACAGCCTGTAGAGTGTGTACTAGCGGATATTGGTCTTCCACGATCCATAGTTTGTGCTACCACAGATCCTGTCTCAGCAACATAACAGCAGCAAATGTTGGCTGTCTCGTCTGCCTTCGATCTGGAAACGCAATCAGATACAGTCGTGCAGCCTCGCGTCCATTTCCATTCGCGCGACCGTATGTAAAAATCATATCTGCCTACTCACGATATGAACATCCTACTATTGTTAAACGGAACACTTCTCAGTTAACTGCACAAGTTAAACGTTGAAGACAGACCAACCATAAATAAACAAGAATGACAAATGTGACTCGACCGTTCCTTATTCATACTCGATCCCCTCGGCTGATCGTAGAGTTGATCGCGTCGACACAAGTCTTGTCTTGCCCCGCACTGTGTTAATTGATCGCAAGACAGGTTTGGTCCGAATGGTCGACTGGAATCGATAACTTGGTTTAGTCCGGTCAGAGTAAAGTCACATGAGAGAAAAAAATGATAAAAGAAAATATATTTATATACAATTCCTTGATACAAAGTTGATAGTACAGCTTAAGCAGGCTAATGTTCTCCATGCAATAATTGTCGATCCCTCACGATTATGACACACTAGAACAAGGCTTTAAGTCGGAGGTTTTTCTTCATGGCGGTAAATCACAAAAGACCAGGATCTCATCTCTCAGTTCAGTCTCGTCTCCGCAGTCTCTCTCTTTCTCTCTCTCTCTCTCTCTCACTCTATCTATCTATCTATCTATCTATCTATCTATCTATCTCTCCCCGCCGTGTCTCTGTCGTAGTGTCTGTCTCCCAAGACGAAACTCTGCCTTTCGGCATAGCCTGTTCTGGATTCCTTTCTGTCCGAAAGCAAAGAGTTCGACGTCATGAACAGTATCTTCTTCGCCCTTTCTCTCCGTGGTGTCGGTCTCCCAAGACGAAACTCTACACTTCGGCATAGCCTCGTCAGGATTCATTTCTGTCCGAGAACAGAGTTCGACGTCGTGAGCAATATCTGCTACGCTGTCTCTCTCCGCGGTGTCTTCATGTACTCGGCGTTCTGTTTTTATGGACCCATGCACAAGAACTGGGGTGGTGCATGATGTACTCTGGGTATGCCAGTGTTCTCCAAACAACCAATCAAGGCTCTCCCTGCAAACGTCCAAATATTGAGGAGCCCATCCAACCTTGGAATTCTACCTGTGCCTTCTTCTTGCTTTGTATGAGTGCCTCTCACCAGGACTACCCGAGGAATGTGGAAAGTCTTCCGCTCTCCCTGAAATTCCACCTGGGCCTTCTCTTCATTGGTCACCTTATCAAAACCGTCCACCAAAGGCTAGGCCTGCTCTAGCCCTAACGGCTAAATTTTAATTATCGTTTAAGATTCCTTCTTATTGTGCTTTTGTTTGTAGTTGTTTTCGTATCTGGGATTAATCATTTTTTTATCCCTTCATCCACCCTTTTTTCCAACAAGTGACAAAAAGCGAACAATCTCTTGATTTGGGAAATTTTATCGCGTTTCCACAGACGAAAAATTTAATTATTCTCTGATCTATTTTCTGCTGGAAACCTCTCTGCTATTAAAAGTTAATCCTTACCAATCGAACGAATTCGCGGCCAGAGGTTCATCTTCCTCTCCCTCACTCAATGGTCGCAAAATATTATCTATTTCCCTCCTAGCCTTGGAGAATATCCCATCATTTAATCTCAGTCTTAAAAGAAACTAGATTGTTTCTTTGTTTTACATCTCCGGCCTATGAGAAATTTAATTTCCTTTCTCTATTTTTTCCAATAAAGAATAAATACCCTTTTCTTTCATTTTCCCTCGTCTGGTCATCGGTATATCTTCACTCTACCACAAATTAGTGTTTTTCTGACTTGTAGTTTTTCCTCTATTAAAAACAAATACCCTTTTCTTTATTTTTTTCTTTGTCTGCTCATCGGTATATCTTCAGTTTATCGAAAATTACTATTTTTCTATCTTGTAGTTTTTTTCTGAATTAAAAATAAATATCCTGTTCTTTCATTTTTCCTTTGTCTGGTCATCGGGATATCATCAGTCTATCAGAAATTAGTGTTTTTCTGCGTTGTAGTTTTTCTCAATTAAAATCAATATACTTTTCTTACATTTTCCTTGGTCTGGTCATTGGTATATCTTCAGTCTATTGGAAATTAGTGTTTTTCTCTCTCGTAGTTTTTTCTCAATTAAAAAAAAAACATTTCTTTCATTTTCCTTTGTCTGGTCATCGGTATATCTTCAGCCTATCGGAAATTAGTGTTTTTTTGTCTTGTAGTTTTTCCTCAATTAAAAACAAATATGCTTGTTTTTCATTTTTCATTTGTCTGGTCATTGGTACATCTTCAGTTTATCAGAATTTAGTCTGTTTCTGTCATGTAGTTTTATCTCAATTAAAAATAAATATACTGTTCTTTCATTTTTCCATTGTCTGGACATCGGTATGTCTTCAGTCTATCGAAAATTAATGTTTTTCTGTCTTCTAGTTTTTTTTCCGATTACTAGCGCCTTTCCAATGGTGTCACGTCTTGACCTTACCCTTCTTATTATTTGATTTTAAATGACACAAAAAGAAAATTCAAATCACATTACTGACTACCAATCTACTTATGATGCATCTTTTTTCTCTTGCTCTGTATATCATGCATCGTTTTAAATGACTTTCTTCTTCTGTTTACACCATACATCGTCTTAATATATGGGGTTGGTAGCACCCCTTAAAATTCCCCTTTTTTTCTTTTTCTTTTTTGATTATTATGCATTTCGTATATATAGGGTTAGCAGCACTCCTTAAAGTTCCCTTTTTTCCAACAACCCGATATTTCCTTTCTTGTTTTCCACAAATGCCTCAAATTAGTAATTAGCCGCTATTGCTAATACATTCCCCATGGATAAATATTAAATAACCATTATTACTAAAAAAAATATTTCCTTTCTTGGGTTCCAAACACACATCAAATTAGTAAATAGCCACTGATACTAAAATAGTCTTCATATTTAAATCCACAATACCAACCTGATTATTACTTTCTCCTGTTCAATAAACCCCTCAAATACGTAATAAGCCACCATTACTAAAATATTCCTCACACTTAAATCCACAATATCAACCCGATATTACCTTTCTTTTGTTCCGAAAACCCCTCAAATTTGTAATAAGCCACAATTACTACAATATTCCTCATGTTTAAATATTAATAAGCCACTATTACTAAAAAGACCGATAATTTCTTTCTTGTGTGCCAAAAATACCTGAAATTTGTAATGAGCCTCTATTACTAAAATATTCCTCATATTTAGATCCACAATATCAACCTTTCTTAATTTTCATTCTTGTGTTCCAAAAACACCTCAAATTATGATGGCGTTACAGGCTAACACGCATTAATTCCACGCCCAACAACTGGATGGTCTACTTCTAAAGTCGATCTCACCAGCGACATTGTTTGAATTTATCCAATAATCAAGCTACAGTCGATACAAGCCTCAAAAATCAATAAAATAATTCTTCCGATCATCACTCCTTCGTTCAAGCAACGTATGAGAAAAAATTACTACTGTCTTTTTCTTTTCTTCTAAAATGCCTAAAAAAGAATTTGGATTTTCCCATTTTTTTTTTGTCTACTTCAACAGGTGGTTTCTAAAATCTGATTTCAATTTAACTTTTCCCAAAATGTAACATTTTGATCGTTCCTCTTAATAACAGCAATGACTATTGACGATAAAATCTCTCCGTATCTAATGTCTTTTTATGAACAGCAAACTGTAAACCCACTCTCTAATGAAGTCCACTTCTTCCTTCCTCTCACTATTAGGGATCACTTCACAAAACTATTCATCGCTTCTCTCTCTCTCTCTCTCTCTCGCTCTCTCTCTCTCTCGCTCTCTCAGCTGTGTCTCTGTCGTAGTGTCTGTCCCCCAAGACGAAACTTTGCCCTTCGGCATAGCCTCTTCAGGATTCATTTCTGTCCGAGAACAGAGTTCGACGTCGTGAGCAATATCTGCTACGCTGTCTCTCTCCGCGGTGTCTTCATCTACTCGGCGTTCTGTTTTTATGGACCCATGCACAAGAACTGGGTTGGTGCATGATGTACTCTGGGTATGCCAGTGTTCTCCAAACAACCAATCAAGGCTCTCCCTGCAAACGTCCAAATATTGGGGAGCCCATCCAACCTCCTTGGAATTCTACCTGTGCGTTCTTCTTGCTTTGTATGAGTGCCTCTCACCAGGACTACCCGAGGAGTGTGGAAAGTCTTCCGCCTTCCCTGAAATTCCACCTGAGCTTTCTCCTCATTGGTCACCTTATCAAACCCGTCCACCAATGTCTAGGCCTGCTCTAGCCCTAACGGCTAAATTTTAATTATCGTTTAAAATTCCTTCTTATTGTGCTTTTGTTTGTAGTTGTTTTCGTATCTGGGATTTATCATTTTTTTATCCCTTCATCAACCCTTTTTTCCAACAAGTGACAAAAAGCGAACAATCTCTTGATTTGGGAAATTTTATCGCGTTTCCACAGACGAAAAATTTAATTATTCTCTGATCTATTTTCTGCTGGAAACCTCTCTGTAAGTTAATCCTTACCAATCCACTTAATTCGCGACCAGAGGTCCGCCTTCCTCTCCCTCACTCAATGGTCGTAAAAAATATTATATATTTCTTTCTATGAGGTCCTTGGACCTCCAAAAATATCCCATCATTTCATCTCAGTCCTATCCCGAAACCAGATGGTTTCTTTGTTTTACCACTCCGGCGGACGGGAAATTTAATTAAGTTTTTCTACATTTTTTTCTAACAAAAAATACAAATATGCTTTTCTTTCATTTTCCTTTGTCTGATCATCGGTATATCTTTAGTCTAACGGAAATTAGTGGTTTTCTGTTTTGTAGTTTTTTCTCACTTAATAACAAATATCTTTTTATTTCATTTTTCCTTTATCTGGTCATCAGTATATCTTCAGTCTATCGGAAATTAGTGTTTTTCTGTCTTGTGCTTTTTTTCTCAATTAAAATCAAATATCATTTTCTTTCATTTTTCCTTTGTCTGGCCATCGGTATATCTTCAGTCTATCAGAAATTAGTGTTTATCTGTCCTGTATTTTATTCTCAATTAAAAATATATATCCTGTTCTTTCATTTTCCTTTTTCTGGTCATCGGTATATATTTAGTCTATCGGAAATTAGTGTTTTTCATGCGCTTGAAATTGTCTTTGGTTTGCCACAATAGAATTTTGTGATAATCCCATAGTAGGAATGGAGGAAACGATCATTTGTTCTATTTCCACCATTTCTCTATATAATTATTTATTACTGTATACAATAAATTTTGACCGAAGGGGAAATGGGGGAAAAGATTGATCGTCGCTAACTATCGTAGTTCTAATTAATCACGATCACCACCCATTCATCTAATACAATTTATCCAATTACCAAAAGAACTCATCCATCTCCATTCAATCCTACATGTACCACAATACCACATATTCACAGGGGGAGGGGGGCAACAAAAAACATCCCATGATATAAAAATCTAAAATGTTTAAATAGAAAAAAAATAGATAGATATTTTTATGAAACATGTAATGATGGGGAAGGAATGAACCCAATATACTAAACAAAAATCTAAAACAAACAAAAAAAAACAAACTAAAACAAAACAGATGTTAATAAGACCCGTCCCCACTTCAAAATAATCAGAATAGCCGCTGTATTCTGCTGATAGACAGAATCAAGCAGTGCACTCACTTGTCATTTTTCTATATACGTTAGAGACAAATTCAGTTTCTAATACTTTGTCTGGCAAAGGTAGGCACCTTGGGGCGGTGTAATGGTTAGCAAGCTTGTCTCGCGAGAACAATTAAGACTAATTAGTGAGTTCGATCCTCACTGGGTGCCCCATACTTTCGGCCTTGTGCCACATCTCACCTACGCTTGGAAAATTAAGGGCACCTTGACGTGGTGTAATGGTTAGAAAGCTTGTCTGTTAGATCAATTACGACTGAGTAGTGAGTTCGATCCTCATTAGGTGTCCCACACTTTCGGCCTTGTGCCACATCGAAACAGTGCTTGGAAAATCACTGTCTGGTAAAGATGGGTACTTCGGGGTGTGTAATAGTTAGCAAGCTTGTCTCTCTAGAAAAATTACGACTGAGTAGGGAGTTCGGTCCTCACTGGGTGTCCCATACTTTCAGCTTTGCCACATCACGGCTGTTTAAAAGCCTCGTTTTTGTCATATAGGAAAATCCAACATGGCGCGTAAACGAAATATTCGGCGAAAAATCTCATTCGTCAGTAACATTTTAAACACCTCATAGAATGTAAAAGTTCTCAAAGCAAACCTATGCCAAACTGTTTTCCTGAATCCTTGTTGACTTGGCTGTCTGAAAATGACAACATGAAGAAGAAATAGTGGAAACTGACCGTGAAAAACACAATTATGCGCAACAAGTTTTCGATCAATCAGTAAACTTCTGGGCCTTTTCAGGCGACGTTATAGAGTCCAGACGTCTATTGTTTGCACATGGAATTATTCACTGGTAATTAATATTCGATTTGGCTGTGAAAAATATCACTTGGCGGTTAGCATTAAGAAATTATACCCAATTTTCGGAGAAAACTCACCGTTTTTTATGAAGAAATATTTATTTTCACTTCAAAATAATATCAGTCAAACTTCATCCGTTTCTTCTTAATTTGGTGTGAACATCATTGAATAAAAGGAACGGCTAAATGGCCGGGCGATGGGAAATACAAAAGATATGCGGCGAAAAAAACTATGTCATCTGCTATGTGTTGTTGTCATCACCCGGGTCACGGGGTGTTAAAAACAAAACAAAACACATCAAGTCATTGTTCAAACGTAGATCATATCAAGCCCTACTAATGTTGACCCTTTTTTTTTCACAGTTTGCTCTTATCTGGGAGTGGTGCGTCTTATTACAACTAGTTCTAAATGTTTATTGCTGGCTGGCTGACCTTTGACCCAAGTCAATTTGGTTTCGTTTTCCTTATCGCTGATATTTTTTGGAAAAAAAAAACTTTTGGTTTCTGGTGGCCCGGAATTGCAGATAAAATTTTCACCTTTTACTAAAGAATTCCATGGCCTGGTGTCGATTTTTTTAACACCTGGCGGTCATATAATTGAAAATTACCAATGGACTTTGTCGCATATTGACCCCTTAGGAATGTTGATTTCCTTCAAAACTTTCAATTTTATGCCTGAAATAGTTTGATTATGATTTAGGCTTTATGATTTTCAAAAAAAAATTGTTAATTCCCATTAATGGGGGAAATTTTTGTTTAGGACTAGAAAAAATGCAAAATTTTCACTATGTTTTAACATTTTCCCCCCTGAAAAAAAATTGAGTCATTTACACCAGCCAATTTTACTTTTAAATGAAAGAATATATCCTTTGCTTTCAGAAAATATCTAGTTTCATGGGGTTCAGATCAAAAGTTTCCTTGATATTTGTTTAGGTGATGATAAAACAGTCATTTTTCAATATTTTACCCCGATAAAAATATAAAAATCCAATTTTGAGAGAAAATATGTTGTGACAAATTGACTTTTGCCATTTTTTTGATGATTTTTACTTGGGATAGAAACTTTTTACCATAGCTAACCTGAATTGATTTTATTTAATTTCAGTGGGGCTATAGGGAAACCTCAAACAGCTGTGACATTTGAGCTACGCTTGGAAAATCACTTCGGTAAAGGTTCACTTTTTCCAAATTAACATCTGCCTTTTCACGGGCTTCGCTTATTTTTTTAATCTATTAAGTCAACCTGTGCTAACCATTTATTTATTTTACGGAAGTTTTTGAAGGACTTCTCCGCTAACATAAAGCTGCAAATCTGACACTATACCTGATCCTACGCTTAGTTGAGAGTAATCTTATTACGACAGTGTGACGTAAACAGGCACCTGCATGCAGTGACAAAACAATAAGACCTTTTCTATTGGCTGAAAGTTTTATTTGGATCACTGTTAAGAAAAAAAACAAGTCATTCATTGCTTTTTCATCTAATCATGTCTTTCTCTTGGTCGAAATACTGGCTTCGAATTTTCATAGTCGTAATGTCTCTTCTTTCATTGTTGCTCGTCGCCTGTTGGATACACCTTAAACCCAAATCTATGGCAATGGAGGTAAGAGAAAAACACCTTAAAAATAGAACGTTTTCCTTCTGATAATTTTGAGATGTGGTTTTATTTTATTCATTTTAAATTTCTCTCTGTCTCTCTCTTTTTCTAGTGTTCACCCGATACAAGGCCTAAGAGCCATTCAAAGTAGAACGCCACTGTGTGGAGTTACATTAGTATAATTTAGTTTATTTTCTATCCATATTTCTTTTCAGGGATGTAAGACTTATTTCTTTAATGAAACATTCAGGTCAGATGAAAAAAGATATTTTTGTTTGAACTTGACTATCGTGTTTCAAGTATTTCGAAAGATAAAGTAAAAAGATCAAACAGTTGGATATTGTGTAGCATTGTGGCTTATTTAAGTAAATAAAAAATTTGCATACGTTACAATTCACTATCACAATCTACAATACCTCATGAGTAGGTGCGGTGTTTTTGGTAGCTTGAATGAGTGCAGTCATGCTGTATATTATATAAGACTCGTTATTTGATTATAATATAGTGAATTAAGTTTTTTCAGGAAAAAATATTTGTGTTGATATTTACCAAGAAAAAAAATCCCCATAATAACAACTTACTATAAACCACATGATGTAAGGTTCACACTTTATATCTGGAGTATGAGATGGTTTTCATATTTTTTTTGGTGGGGTGAAGTTAAAACATTTTTGTACCCTGACATATTCGGTAGGTGCCACAAAAACGGATGCTTTTTTTCCGAAACAAAAACAAAAATATCTCTACACACTCACACCTGTTTGAAATATTTGCCAAAAATTAAGGATATATCCGATTCAGTCGAAATTGCAGGTATATTGTTTGTTGTATATTTGGGTAGCAACCCTTGTTTTACGCATGTTTCGTTAAATATGTCCGACAAGAGAGACTATTGTACAAAAAATGTGGGTCCGCATGCGCATGTTAAATTTAACGAAAACCCTTAATTTTTAAACTTTATAATTTTGGGGATAATGTATTTTGGAAAATGAGAATATTAAAAATAGCAATATTTATTTAATTCTAAACTATGCAGCATTGTGAAAATTTTTGCATTAACAATGTTAAGATTATCTTCAAACAATTTTGCTACTGATCTTGAGTATGAAGTAAATACTAAGAAAAACTCAGTATCTGTCTATATTTCTGAGATGAGGTATTATGTACATTATTTACATTATTCAGACTATTGTCCTCATCTTTGTCGCCATATTTATTACAGAAGGCGTACAATGGCCGAAACGTTGTAATAAACATGGCGACAAAGATTAGGACAATACTCCGAATAATGTAATAGTGTACATAATACCTCATCTCAGAAATATAGACAAATACTGAAGAAGGCCGGAGCGTACAACGACCGAAACGTTGTAATAAATATGGCGACAAAGATGAGGACAATAGTCCGAATAATGTAAATAGTATACATAATACCTCATCTCAGAAATATAAACAAATACTGAAGAAGGCCGGAGCGTACACCGGCCGAAACGTTGTAATAAATATGGCGACAAAGATAGTGTAAGAAAAACTCATGATTATTAATTAACCAAATGATCGACTTTTACGTACCGATTTACATAGATTTTCTCGTTTCTGCTTTTATTTATTTATTTTTTAAATTTTATCACACAGACAAGATTTTCGCAATTATCTATTCAAGTCAGCTTACAAAATGATTTTTTTAAATCAATATAAAGGGTTAAATTGCGTGGTAGACTTGGCTGTCTAGTCTTGATCAAGGGAAAGAATTACTCTGAATTCAAAAAACAATAGAGAAGCCAAAAAACATCTTTCTTTACCAAAATATTTATGACAATTCACAGAAAATAAAAAGAATTTGTGGAGTGTCATGACCACTGAATGGACAGGGCATTTCTTGATTTCATTCTTTTATACGTGTCAGACCTAAATAGTTTTTTTCTTTACAGATTCTTCCAACCAAAGAGAAAATTTATTCCATGTCTCAGAATGAAGTGTTTACTACCTATCACAAGTAAGTTTTACTGTTCTATTCCTATGTTTTGCTTCTGAAAGTCTTTTATTGGCTGAATTTCAGCCTTCTTCTGCGGTTATTCTTAATACCATATCCGTTCAGAGACTCTCTTTTCTTTATCTGTAAAAGTGATTTCCTATTGATTTCTCCATTGTTTTCAACTAGTATAGCACTTCTCCTAAACAAGGCTAAAGAGCCCAGTCTACCCTATTATTTAAGCCCTAGCTAGATGAATTGATGCCTTTCCCAAGGGCATCAGTGCAAAAATGAATGTAACAGACAAGGCTACAATTTGAATTTGGCTCGCCAATTCCACTTTCTGTACCAATAACTATTAAACATAGGTAAAATGGAATTTGAGTAAACCACTCTCCCATAACTACCTTTTACAGACTGTAGCAATAAAGAAACTGTTACCTCAGTTGTCAACCTTGATAGGTGCTCACAAGATCATATGATCCTAATGAAACTATTAATTCATTTTAATTACTTAAGTTCGGCCCTTTTTATAATTCAGCTTATGGCCATATTATGTCGAAACACCGATTCTCATATGATGCGGCACTTTTGGAAACCATACCACGGGTTGATCCTTGTGTGTGAAATTGGATGGACGGAACCGTACAACCAATTTCACGCAAGCACGAACTCGTTGTGACGTGCTGTTGGTCACGCTAGATAACTAAACTGTAACTAAGTCTACTGCATAGTTGCAGCGGTATAAACCACAAATGCAGTATAATGCAGTATAAAACACAAATTGGCTAGTAGACTTTACTTCTCTTTTCACGTATGGGTTAAGTAGTATGACTTGTATATGACAATTCTTATTTATAGAATATTGTTAATACAATACTCACACGCATAAAAAAGAATTATTTATCATAATCCAAAAATGTTTCGACAAAATGTTGATAAGCTGTAAGAGAAAAAAAAACAGCCTTTAACGCTTGGCCGCTTTAGAATACCAGTGAATTGAATAAATTGTGTTTTATTTTATATAAACTTGCTTAAAGTCTCCTAAAGAAAATTATTAAGTTCATTTCAACTCACTTCCTAGAAATTAGATTATAGTTATTTACAAATAAGTAGTAGTTAAATATATTCTAATTAAATGTTTATGTTTAAGGAGCGACCACTCTGTGAAATGTTTATGTAAAAAATAATTCATTAAAATCCATGTAAAAATGTGTAATAAAAATATCTTAATATTTTTTTGCAAAATGGTGCGTGCCATTAGCAGCGATTTGTAATTTTTTAGTTTTTCTTTCTATCAATGTTGATACGATTTTCTTTTCAGCATTTGATCAGTATTATTATCACAGTGAGTGTGATGCAGACCCCACTATCTTAGTTGCCATTTCATTTCTTTTCCTCTTTTTATTTTGTTAGGATTTTCCTTTCAGTTTTTTCAATGAATAAATAGACATTCAAAAATAACTGTTATTATGAAAGTGAGTCCGAATGCAGACCCCCCCCACCCACGCACAATGCAGTTTGATCAGGAAATTACTTTATTTTGAAAGCATTTTCATAGTAGTGCCTTATCAAAACTCTTGCTGTGATGTGCTGTTTTTGATGTTACTGTAATAAACATATCCACAAGGAAATCAGATCATTATAATATACAGTCAACGATGAAAGTATTCGTAAACCAATCAATTTTGAATATTTTTATCCATTACTCAGAATCTAATCCTCGTATGATGCTAGGTTATTTATTTGTTAATAAGCACAAAGAAACAAATATAAAACTCGATTTTCAAAAGAATACATTAAATACAACAAATTTGGCAGGCTAATTATGCAAAATAGGACAAGACAAAATTATTCCTACAGTAGAAAATATCACTTTATTGATTGATTCGTGTAAGTATAAGTAATTTACATAATTATTTAATCAGTGAAGCCGTCTAGACTATTTATTCAGTAGGATATTTGTGATAATTCCAGCAAAGAACATCAGTTGGTGCATAGAATGTCACCATTGTTATTCTTACGATAACAACACGATGGGGAAGACAAACGAACTTAACGTTGACGCGGAACAGAGTTATTAACTTCCACAAGTCGGGAAATAGCTACAGCACTATTTCAAACCGGTTAGCTATCCCTAAGTCGACGGCACAGTCCGTTATAAAGAAGTTTAAACAGTTTGGTATGATAGAGAATTTGCGTGGGATTGGAAGAAAACCCAAATTGTCACCGAGAACTGCACGAAAACTATGTCTCTAGGTTAATATAAGCCCAAGATTTGTTTTAAAAGACATCGCCAAAAGTTTGGATACGATGGGTATCAGCGTAAGTACTTGCACAATACAACGTTGTTTAAATAGAAATGGGTTGTATGGAAACCGACCACGACGAAACCCTCTTCACAATGTCACCCTGTTGCTCGTTTTAATTTTGCCAAAACATTCTTAGACAAAGAAAATTACTTTTGGGAACAAGCATTATGGAGTGATGAAATAAAAATTGATCTTTTTGGACATAATGATGTACAGAAGATTTGGGCTCAAGAAAGGTGAAGCTTTCCTCCCAAAGAATAAAGTGGTAACATTAAAACATGGAGGCAGCTGATATTTTTGAGTTGTTTTAGCTCATGGAGGACTGGACAATTACTTGAAATAACAGGAAGAATGAAATCTGAAGACTATATCAAAATTCTGGATGAAAATCTACAACTATCAACGCAAAATCTTCGTCTAAGTCGGCAATTTACTTTCCAGCAAGATAATGATCTCAAATCAGTGAATGCGTGGCATTTTTGTCATGGCCTCCAATGAGTCTTGACTTGAATCCTATAGAAAATCTATGGCAAGAATTGAAAGTTCGAATAAATAGTCGGTCACCAAAAAACCTTCCGGAATTAGAACGTGTAACCATTGAAGAATGGAAGAAAATCCCAGAAAATACTTGTTCAAATCTCTCAAAAACTTTAGAAAGTTATAAAAATGAGAGAATATGCTATTGACTATTAATGATGTGAAAATTGTTCAATTTTTCTATTTTTCATACTTTGTTAGTTCCTATTTTGCATAATTCGCCTGTCAAATTTCTTGTATTTAACCTAATGTTCTGAAAATAGTTTTATATTCCTTTTTTGTGCTTATTATCATATAAAAAAGCCTTGCATCATACGGACATTAGACTTTGAGAAATGGATAAAAATTTTCGAAATTGATGGGTATACGAACAATTTCGTCGTTGACTGTAAATGCTTCATATAAGCTTGCAAATGTTTTTTTCTCTCCTAATATTCCAACCAGTAATATGAACACCTCTCACAAACCATTGATAATAGGTTTGTAACCAAGGCTTAATAAGCATCTTCAGTGTCTTTATTTCTCAACTCAGTGTACAATATTCTTCTATGTGCCGTGTCCCTTCACGGCATTAGCGGTCATGGCTCTCCACAATTTCCTGTCCTTTTTTATCTCTTAATAAATTTCATCTTTTCATTTTCTCTTAAATTTTGTTCAGCCATCCATTTACTCGAGCTTGCTAAGTTGTTTTCCACTATCCCACTTGCATTCAATCTGTCCTGTGAGTATCAGATTTTCCAATCACTCTTTCCTCATTATATGCTCGAGAAATTTCAACAGTCTTTTTCTAATGTCAAGTATAAATTGCCTCTTTGTTTCCATTTTCTCTAAAACTTTGTCGTTGCTCACATATTCAGTCCATGGTATTTTCAGTATCCTTCTGTAGAACCACATTTCTGTTGCTAAAAGTCTTTTACTCATCTTTGCGAAGATTGTCCAACAGGAGTGATAGAATTTTTTTTATTTTTTTTGTTTCTTAATTCTTTGCTTAGCTTTTGGAAGGCATCTTTCGCTATTCCAATACGCCTTTGAATTTCAGTGTCTCACTTTACGTTCTCTGTTAAAACACTTCCCAGATATTGAAATTTTTGTATTTGTTTGGTTTTGGTATCTCCAATTTGTAATTTGCATGTTGAGTTTTCCTTTTTTATTATTTCTTTTTAATCATCCAAGTAAGGCAATAATGCCACTAATACACGGGGATTACAGGTGAAAGAGAGTGAGAAGACTTTAGTGAGGAGAAAGGACAATAAAAGAACAGGTTTCAGGATAACAGAAGATGGCAATTGACGTTAAATTTAAATTTTTGAAGATTGTAGCTGGCAGGCAAACAAGAAATCCCAAGGGAATTCCACAGGCGAGAACTGCGATAAAAGAAGCTGTTAGAATAGAAGAGACAGTGCCAATCGAGTAGAACCTGTAAATTCACGCAGTCGTTGCATTAAAAAGAAAAACTCATCAGAAAATTGCCATGAAACTATCCATAAGAAAGAAAGAAAGAAATCAGGTCAAGATTCATTACATTACTGACGCTTCTTTGAATTTTGTCAAGAATCTCGTGATATATAAATGGGGGCACCTAACCAGATACGGCTGCAATACTCTAGGTATGGATCAATGGTAGATTTATAATTGTAAAAAATGCATTCCAATGAGAAAATTGACAGGCCCAACAAAGTGAACCAACTTTCCTAGCAGTAGACCTAGCAACTGATTCAATATAATATGAATTTTGTCAAGAATTCTGGTGAATTATGGGAGTATTCTATGTTTATTTAACTATTTTATTATAATCTAACTTTTTCTTTCTTTATTGTTAATTATCATTCTTATTATCTATATTTTAAAGTATTTTTATTACTTAACTTTTAATTTTTCTTTTATAACTTACTTATTATTTTGGTTTCTCTAGTACTAAAGGTTAAAGATTATTTAGTTGCTGCTATCACTACAGAATCACAAAGAACTACACCAAATACCAGAAACCCCATCATTTGAGGACTTTTAACAATAGTAACAACTAAAATGGATAGTACATGTCAATCAAAGAGAAAATAATGACATAATCAAGATGTTGACATTCTCCAGAACTTCAAACAAAAGATTAGGAAGAAAACCCCCATCAATACCGGAAAGATCAATAACAGTTACTAGGCTTAAGGAACCTATTTTAATCAATAGAAGTACTGACTGCTTGGTCATTGAATGTCGGATGTTATTTATAAGGAAACTACTAATATTACCATATTAAAGATGAGAAACAGATACTATACATTGATCCCAGCCTGATGGCAAGGAAGTGAAGAAAAGCATAATTTGAGTAGTACTGGCTTCTCTGTGAATGAATGCTGAATGTTTCTGAATAAAGCAAATGACCAACTCAAAATCCAAGGTAATTAACAACATTAAGTTAAGCAATGCTGTGCCTGATCAGTACTTAGATGGGTGACCACTTGGGAATTAACTATTAATCTATGATAATTAACAATATTATTTGTTCTAAAACTTCCTGTTAATAAAAATGGCTGAATAAAAATAGTGACTCTCAATTGTGGTTATTTGTCTGCAATTCCTCAGTAGGAACCCCAATGCTGCATCACTAGACCAGATGAATGACAGGTGTTATGTTTTTTTTTGTGCATGTGAGTTAAAAAAATAAAATGTCCTGGTAAGTGTCTTATCTACATTCATAAGATAGGCATAGAGAAATGACTCTGTTAATTTTGGATGTTTCAAAATATTCCTCTAATCAGTTTTTTTCAAATCCCAAATTGTTGCTTTAGCAGAAATGTTAATTGATTGGTTGGATTAATTAATATAAATTCTTTGTTTCTTTTCTTTTCAGTTTCATGCATACTGTTACATTCCATTGTAAGAATATTATCAGAGTTGGTTCTAAGGAAGATGGAGGTTGGGATGTCTGTGCTGATCCTGAATATATACCAAAAGAACCATGTTTAGTTTATTCCTTTGGGTGAGACATTTTACTTATAAAGTGCTTGTAAAATCTTTTTACCATTCAGATTTTTGCTAACTATATCAAATTTAAGATAAGCTAAAACTATCAGAGTAAAAAGAAATGAAAGTAAATTTATTGCAATGCCTCTTTATGCAAGTTGTCCTTAATACCTTTATCTATTCTTTTCTACATAAAACTATCAAACCAGAAAGAAAATTCTTTGCAGTGTGTACAAAAATGTATTTATATATATCCTTTACTTTAGAAATAAAACCATCAAATCAGAAAGAAATGAAAGCAAATTTTTTTAAGTGTCATTATACAAGCTGTCTATAAAATCTCTATGCATAAAATTCCTTTATTCTTTTCTACTGTAAACAGTAAAAAATATCAAACAAAAAATTAAAGCAAATTTATTACTAAGTCTCTTTCTACAACATGTCTATAAAGTACCTGCCTATATTTCTGAGGTAATGTATTATGTACATTATTTACATTATTCGGACTATTGTCTTCATCTTTGTCGCCATATCTATTACAACATATTACATATGGAGAGAGAAGGGAGGTCACCATTCTCTGTGGGATCAGGTTGAGATCATAGACAAAAAACACCATTGGAAAATTTGTAAACTTAAGGAATCAGCACATATGCTAGGCCACAAAAATCTCCTGAGCCGACCAAGAATAGAAATGAATACAATATGGGAACCAGTAATGAGGAGTGCCAGAGAAAAATGATAATAACAACAAAAATTGCAATATGATAAAGGCGTTAGTTAGATCCAGTGACAGGACCCAAAAGTGTGTGAGTTCAGTACCCGGTTAAGGCAGTGGAGAATTTTCAGAGGGAAAATTAACAGGAGTTAGCTGACAACTGACATTCATTAAACATGGGACGTGGAACTAGAACAGTGTACCCCAGTGAGTTAAATGAAGGGTTCAGTTTGACATTCCAACCACCTGAAGAAGGTCGGAGTGTACAACAGCTGAAACGTTGTAACAAATATGGCGACAAAAATGAGGACAATAGTCCAAATAATGTAAATAAATTCTTTGTCCAGAAAGATTTTTAATAATTTCTCTATGTAAAAAATATTAGGCCAAATGTATCGAGTATCTTTTTATAAACTATCAGCAGATTTTTGCTCACCTGTTTTTCATCCAAGATAGAAATCTAAGTCTTGTATAAAAACAACCTGTATTTAAATACAGAATCTTTAGTTAAAAGAATATTAATTATCTTTTATATGTTGAAACTTTTTCATTGAAAAGGTTAATGTATATTTTGGTTCACCAAAATTTCATAAAATAAGACAATTCTTCACTTCTTGGAAGCTAGGAACTGCTTGCTTCCTTTACTGAAGGCCATCACACACACACACGTTCTTAGAATTTTTACTGTCTTATGTCTAAAAAGAAGAAAATGAAGAATGCTAGCATTTGTATAGGTTGGAATTTCTTGGTTTTTCACTTGTTTTATTAAAGATTATTTTTTAATTAAGGTAAGAATTTTGTAGATAAAAATAACTACCTGCAAACTGAGTTCTAATAATAAAACAAAATCAAAAAAAGTTTTCATAAACTTACAAAAGGGAATGAGGAGGATTTGCCAATATGAGGCATAGCATTGCAGGTCCTGGCTGGGAAGATATGAGCTAATGAATGTAAATTGTCTGAACATCTGGAGAGAGAGACTAGCAGCATTTCATCTGTAGAATAAAGGTGGAAAATAATTCATCACCCACAAGACTGCATAAATGCTTAGTCTGGCAACTGTGTTAAATTCAAATACATACTTATGATTTTGTCTAGATTAAAAGAAATGATAGATTATCAGTTGCCAGATAATCCATGCTGCACCTGTCTTAATTTTACAGAAGGTTCTTAGCCTTGATTCTCCCCCAATAACCAAGGTTAAGAAACATTGAGCCTTGTCAGTACTTAAATGGGTGACTGCTTGGGAATACCAGGTGTTATAAACTTGGATGTGTGGATGGTGCAATGGATAGTAGCTCAGAAGGAGAAATCAGAGCAGATTTCAAATTCCAGTTGAGTTTTCTACATGTAAAATACCCTTGGGGAAAGGTTTGAATCCATTTGCCCCTCGGCTATGGAATAAATAGTCGTTCAGGCTTGGATCTTCAACCAATACATGTTGCACTTGTCCTAATTTTGCAATGCTCAGTATGTGTAAAGAGTAAGATGGTGTAACACTCGTGTCATTCAATGTGTATAAATTATAAATATTTTTGAATTTCCTTCATTTTTCTTC